GCCGAGGGGCCTCCCGCGGGCCGCACGGAGCGGGGGGCGCCCGGCCTGCCCGGCCGGCAGGGAAGAGGGCGCGTAGCCATCTTGAAAACGTTTGACCCTACACCCGTTCCTCACACGAAAACGACTTTTCTTTTTTCTTATTTTTTTTTCTCCGCAAAAAGCTCTGTCCCGCATTTCTGTGGGTCCCTTTCTCATGGGTTTGGGTGATAGCGCCGAGAGACGTTCTTTTCCACCACGGGAAACGTTGTTTTCCTCAAGGGAGGCCTGGCCTAGCAGGCGGCCCCGTCGAGCGCGCACCCGCCCTGCCGGCAAAAAGGGCGGAAAACCCCACCGCGGTGCCCTTCTTTTAACTACTTAAATTTATCAGCCGTTTCCCGCCCCCCGCGCGCCCCACCCCCTTCTCCTCATTACTGCATTGCACCTAACAGCAAAAAGACACTGCAGAATTAGCCTCAATTAAGTATTTCAAGGGTAAGCTTGATACTGTTGACTTGTGAAGTGTTATCATCAGGTAGCACACATTATGTTCAGTAATAGCAAAAATTACAACTTGGGATGATTCATCTGGTAAATTACCAGGTTTCTTTATTTAAAGTCACATTTGAAAGGCAATAGCCAAAGTTCTCCTTGGGTTTTCTTTTAAATTTCTTAAAGCTGCAGCCTAAAAACTCCAAGTACTTTCACCACAGCATGTTCTGGCACAATTGGCTCAGTCCCACCGCATTCTCTTAACAGCAGCTCTGTGGATTTAATTAGATCACCTCATGGAAAGACCCAGCAGCACATGAAAATCAGGTAGTTGGATGTGGAATGAATGCCAAGTGTGCCTAGGTATAGTTACCAATGCAGAACTGTGCCCACAAATTCCAGCAGCTAAACCATACTGAAAATAAGTCATTCCTCATTTGAGTTTTCAAAGTTACACATGGGGTTGGTGTACAGACTCCTGAAGGCTGGAAGTACATATTGGCAGTTTTAATTCTAGGACTTTAAAGATTGTGCTTTTTCCTATAGTCAGACACTCCTGCAGTACAACCAAAATTTAGAGGTTTTTTAATGCATATATGATAGGATTTGAATATTCACCTTTGCAACAAATCAGTGTAATCAATGTCAAGAGTTGCATAGACATTCTGGGATAGTTAAGGATGGCCAGTTTTACTGATGAAACATAAAACCATTTTTATTATTTTTTATCCTGAGTTATTTGAGGAAGAATAGTTGTTTAGCCCACTAACTTGACTAACTTTTGATTTGTATAAGGACATTGTGTCCTGATGAATTTTATATGTAGTTTTTCCTAGGCATCACTTCTCACTTCATCATCTTTTAAATTACTGTATTACTTTGCCCCTAGAAAGACCCTTCTGTCCACTGGAATATGATGTTCATAGCATTAAGGAAGACTGAAGATAGAATCAGAGATAACAGAAAGGAAGAAGGAAAAGCATAACTGTAAGTCTCACATGAATATTGAAGTTTTGTTCAGAGAGGTTCTGCAATGCTTGTAGCTGTTCTGCCTTTCACCGTTGCTGCTCTCAGTCAGGGAGGAAGGTATTTTAACATGCTAATATTACAGGATTCAGTAAACCAGGTCAAAGGTCTATTTTATCATGTAGAACCAGGTGACACTCTGCTCTGAAAGCACACTAATGGCGCGTGAAATCCAGCAACCCTCTCCTTGCTGTTTCATTTCTCCTTGCCTTGTCATTTGACAGTGCATTGTAATAAAGTTGGAATGTATTACTACATAACTTGCTGAATATCTTAGAATGTTTTGTCAGCTGTAGACAAGAGTCACTTGACTTGCTAAATATTTGCCTGAGCTTGAGATACAAGGTCAAACTTATCCTGCAGATCTACAATACCTACTATTCTTCTTTGTTTCATATTAAATTAAAAAATAATATGAGAGAGAGTATTTGTGAAGAAAGATCCTTGAAAGTTTTTCCGTTTTTCAATTTGTATCAATTCATCTGATAAATGTTATTACCTTTTTCTGTAAATCTACCCCCTTGATATCCTAAGACTACCATTACTCTCTTATTTAAAAATAACATTAATAATAACAACAATCATAAAATACGTAAGCTCCAGATTCCCATATGGTTAGAAAAGGTTAGAAAAGTCAGTAAAGTTCAATCAGTTATGTCTCCAAAGTAGCCATATAAAATATTATCTGAATTAGTCTTTTAGTTTATCAAACCTAGAACCAAGAGTGTGTATTAATTTTTATTAAATTTCCTTAGTATATCTTCAACTTTGTATATTGCAGAAACAACTATATAACAGAAAAGAAAATTGGTATAAGGTTTAGATGCAAAAGTCATGATGAGAAAAAAATGAAGTGTATTGAAATGTTATTTTTGCAATACATACAAGTTTCTTTCAAGAAGCAAAGAAAACTGATTACAGTTGCTACAGCTCAGGAACTCAGAACATGTATTTCAAATTAAATAACTAAAGAAGCTTGTCACTTGATTCAGCCTAAGATTTGTCTCCCATCTCAGGATAAATTCATATGTTTATCTAAGTTTACTAAACAAGATCTCAATTTGATGGCTTATTTGGGGATTTCTTGATCCCTTTGGAAGTATTGCCCAAAGTGATATAAGCAGGATAAGCAATGCAGCTGGTTATTTTTGGCTGGAGGAGGCCATGAATCTGATTATTCAGCTGTATTTTTGTGCACAGAGATGTAATATTGATTTACTTTGTCATCTTGCTGTTTAATAACTAATAAGAAAGTGAAATCCCAGTTTACATTATGCCAGAACCTGATGATTTGAAAAAACATGAGTGAAAAATCTAAATGAAAATGTATTGAGCTTGCTGAAAA